GGTTTTAACTCAAGCTGCAGTGGTATTTTCACATTCAATGGATTCCATGGCCCGTTGCAACCGGAACTGTCTGAGAGACGGGCACCGTGCAGGCATGTGACTATCATGGACCTACACAGTCACATTTTAGAGATCCAACTGATGCCATGTCACACGTTTGTTTTGATTAAGACCCGCAGATTTTCATTTGTGAAGACACTTCAAAATATCCAATCACTGCACTCGCTTGCGCGAGCCCTCGGCTGAACCTGTGGAGCATCTGTCGCGGACTCAGCTTGTTTCACATATGCATAGAGACTATCTGTATGGAAAACTATCAGACTATCACTTCATTCGTCTTCATTTCACGACGATTTTTGACGGCATCACTACTATTTCATTTTGATGGCGGCTCAAGGTCCTGGATAACAAGTTCTGTCCTGGTTTTAACTCAAGCTGCAGTGGTATTTTCACATTCAATGGATTCAATGGCCCGTTTCAAGCGGAACTGTCTGAGAGACGGGCACCGTGCAGGCATGTGACCATCATGGACCTACATAGTCACATTTTAGAGATCCAACTGATGCGTGAGTCAAACAGAACGGTCTGAGACTCCATCGAAGATCAATAAAGCTGTCAGTTCCTTTTGCGCATATAGTTGTGCCGGGACATCACTGAATGTGATCTGTCACAGTCATTAGTCATAGTCCTTGAATGCTTTGCAGGTCCGCATTGTTGGTCTGTGCAGCTAGGTTTGCATCGAGTCAGGGCCCCGGGATGGGATGGATTACCTGGATAGGCAGGCTGCTACCACAAAGAGACAAATCGATATATTATATATTGAGATAGAGATAGAGATATGATATAAAGATGGATGTATGACTGTTAATATATAGAGATGGATGTATGAGTGTTAAGATAAGAGTTTCAATTCAAGTCACAGTCAGGAGTCAGGACCCTAAACCCAAAAAGCACATGGAAAGGAGCACAAGGGCCATCCCATTATATCATATTGTAATACTGTGCTTGTCCCAGCCCAGAAACGTTCGCCGCCTGCCAGGTCCGCCCGTTTATACTTCTTTTTGGGGAGATGGCAAACCACCTTGGTTGGGGGGCCCCAAAGCACACAGCCCTCATGACATCTTTATACATGCTGGTTTCGAGTCACATCATTTCCTTTTTTTTCCGGTTCACATGGAAATGGGACTTCGCCACGCCACCCCATCGACACATGCACACACGATATAAGGTATACGTGTCCAGGCTCCTCCTCAGGTCTTATGACTTTCAATGGAGGTGATGGTGTACCATGGCCTTGCCATCAGCCATGGTACATCTATTGTCACTTCCTCCCAATTGAATCTATGATAACCTTTGGCCTGCAGTGCCAGTAACCCTGGTTCCCCCCAGATCTCTTGTTGTGGGCAGATAGGCCTCTCTCTGGACGGACGGACGTTTCTAAGTAAAGAAAAGCAAAAACTATTTTCTGTTGCTTCTTCAAAGTGATCCCCTTTGAGATGGTCAATTGATCTTTTTTGGTCTTGATCGAGTGGTTTCAAATTGATAGTTGACGAGCTCATTTTGAAGAAGCAAGTAACTAGCTATTTCCTGGAGAAGAACATCGCAGCGATCACCAAGGTCATCACAGATGTGTGAAGAAAAGGGTGAGCAAGGAGTATAGGAGCTTTGCACATGAACTAAGAGATCCATTGGCGAGCCTTGACCAGGGAGAGTTCCTCATCGAGGCGGTGAGGACACAGTGCCAGCTTCCAAACATTCGCATGGCTGAATGACCAATTCCTGGATGCGATCCAACAAACGAGCCACTACTTCCGTCTGAGCGACTTCGAGGAGGCGATCCAGACTTACTTCTCGCTGGCACGGCGCGCTTGCACGGCGCGGACTCATCGTTTTGTAGCACAGTGCCAGTGGACCCGACCATGCTGAATGGCATGCAACAGCTGCGATGGTCTGCAAGCAGTGATCGCTTCAAGGTTTTGCAGGACAATCTCGGGACGGACAAAAAAGTTTTAGTTAGGCTCGCCATGACATTACATACTTGGTCGCGTATTGTGATGTGGTGCATATCATCGAGTCCTAATTAATACCCTTAGGCCTTAGCTTCAGACTTTGATACTGCGTATGTAATTATGGCCTGCTCCTATAATTGTTTGAGGGGATAGGTTGGTCACCCTGGCTGGGGGCCAGGTCGGTTCTTTGCCTGACTCAACGCCGTCGTGACAATTGAATTTGAAAATGAAGTGCATCAGCATGAGTCAACCAGAACTGTCTGAGACTTGCTGATGCACGCATCTTTGCTTGAGACATTCAATTTCACCATAGTGCATCCTGTCTCACCATAGTGTATCGGCGTGGGTCAAGCAGAACGGTCTGAGACTCCATAGAAGAGCAATAAAGCTGCCGATTCCTTTTGCGCATATAGTTGTGCCGGGACATCGCTGAATGTGATCTGTCACAGTCATTAGTCATAGTCCTTGAATGCGTTGCGGGTCCGCATTGTTGGTCTGCGCAGCTAGGTTTGCATCGAGTCAGGGCCCCGGGATGGGATGGATTACCTGGATAAGCTGCTACCACAAAGAAACAAATCGATATATTTTATATTGAGATAGAGCTAGAGATATGATATAGAGATGGATGTATGAGTGTTAATATATAGGGATGGATGTATGAGTGTTAAGATAAGAGTTTCAATTCAAGTCACAGTCAGGAGTCAGGACCCTAAACCCATAAAGAACCAACTTATATCATATTGTAATACTGTGCGTGTCCCAGCCCAGAAACGATCGCCGCCTGCCAGGTCCGCCCGTTTATACTTTTTTTTCAGGAGATGGCAAACCACCTTGGTTGGGGGGCCCCAAAGCACATAGCCCGCATGACATGTTTATACATGCTGGTTTCGAGGCACATGGAAATAGGACTTCGCCACACCACCCCGTCGGATTGCTGAGGTCGCCACGACAACGATGACTTCGCTGTGACTACATGGGCCGGCCTCTGTGTAAAAGCGTCTGTGTGTACAAGTGATTGTGTGTAAAAGCGCTTGTGTGTAAAGCCGTCTGTGTGTAAAAGCGTCTGTGTGTCAAAGTGTTTCTGCGTAAAAGTGTTTGTGTGTAAAAGCGTCTGTGTGTAAAAGTGTTTTGTGTGTAAAAGCGTCTGTGTGTAAAAGTGTTTTGTGTGTAAAAGTGTTTGTGTGTAAAAGTGTTTGTGTGTAAAAGTGCCTGTGTGTAAAAGCGTCTATGTGTAAAAGCTTCTGTGTGTCAAAGCGTTTGTGTGTAAAGGCAGCTCCTGTGTGTAAAAAGGTCTGTGTGTAAAAGTGTCTGTGTGTAAGCGTGTCTGTGTGTAAAAGTGTCCGTGTAAAAGCGTCTGTGTGTAAAAACATCTGTGTGTAAAAGCGTCTGTATGTAAAAGCTTCTGTGGGTAAAAGCTTTGTGTGTAATAGCCTCTGTGTAAAAGCTTCTGTGTGTAAAAGCTTTTGTGTGTAAAAGCGTCTGTGTGTAAAAGTGTTTGCGATGCAAACTATTGTCTTGCACTTCTCACTATTTTGTCTTGCTACTCCTCTTCTCGACTGCCTATAACACATCTTTCATATATTATTTGTAAAATTGTGTCTCCATACTAACAAGAGAAGACCCTGCTCCTCTACGCTCTCGGGCCATCCGTCGTCTAGTTTTTAATCTAGTAAGATTTCGTGACATAGGGGTTTTACATGAGAAAACGGGGAACGATTGCCGGAACGATTTCCTGCTGTGTGTATGCAGGTGCTGTGCATTTTTTAAAAGACAAACATGCTAGTACTGAAGGGTCTCCCGAAGTCCTCCACAAGCCTTTGCAACTGTAACATGATTTAACATGTCTCAAGTTAAGATGAATGAAATGAATGAATGCCTCCAGGATCCTTCCTGCATTCAACGTGTTTCACCAGATTCGAGACTTGCTGCACGGTTCACTTGCTCGGACCTTGTTATCACTGCGCAGGCATCACGATGTTCCGCGCAGACTCTTCCTTGACAGTACATTGCGTTGCCTCCAGAACTTTGACGATGGCGCAGAGCCTTCAGAGGCTTGGTCTGGATACATTGTACACGCGCTCCACTGATATTTTATGTTGATATGTATTGCATTCAGCATGCATTCAGCATGCATTCAGTGTCTCACATTTCAATGCACGTGGAAAACTCAAAGCTTTCAATTGTCTGCGCAGTGCCCTAGAAAGTGGAGCAAGCTTTGTTGCATTTGACTTTACATGGTCCTGGTGTTACTAACAAGGAATACTGACCAGATCTAACCAGGAATGCGTTTGGTAGGACGTTAAATTCACCAGGAAACTTCGATGGCTTTGTGGAAATTTGTGTCATAATGTGTTGCGCCCTTGATGAATTGAAAGGGAAAGTCAAAGATGACCGCTGCTAGGCCCAAAGGGAATTCTTGAGAGGAGCGCCCTGAGGCAGGAGGAAAACTACAAGTGTCGAACCTGTTTTGGAAAAGTTTGTGCTTCGGCTACTTCTGGCTCCACTGAAAGTCTGTAGAGCTCTATGGCACTTAGTCTCAAAGCTACGAAGAATGAATGCCTTTCTTACATTCAGAATGCAGTGAGTCTAATCTCAATGCTTTAGTCAACACCAATGAAAACACCACGTAATTTTCAGAGGATCCTATTTTGCTCAAACAAAATGCAAAGGAATAAAGACGACATCAACTGAGCAGCCCATATTTTGCTCAGCAGACTGTGCACTGTCTTGCATTTGATTGCAAGCATATTGCAAGCCTTGTAGAACGTGTTGAGGCTTTGCCAAGCTCTGTTCTTGGAGTCCACTTGCCAGGCTGCTAGGTGCCCCAGAATTTGGTATCGAGATGTGTCGAGCTTTACTCTGCCATTTGTTTGGAACGAATGATGCAACTCTGAAGTGGCCCCAGGAGCCAAGTTTCAAATAGTTTTTCAACATGCATGATTTGGCTCAGAAGTCAATTATAAAGTGCATCACTCTGCATCAGTACCCCTCATGCTTTCTGCTGCTCCAAGCCATGGTCTTCAGCTGCTTGAACAGACTTTAGGTTGTCAAAGAACATCAGCTCGTGCAAGGTCTGGAGGGTTTGGAGGGTTTGGAGCTGCATCACTTTCAAGGCATGCCTTCAGTTGGACAGCTCTAGGAGTTGCTGTGCTAAGATCAAGAAAGTATCTTCCAACTCGCTTGACAAGATCGGCCTTCGAGAACGAGTTGGGAGTTCAGCCGCCCTTGGGCTTTTGGGATCCAATGGGCTTCACGGATGATGGTGACATTGCTGCTTACCGAAGACGACGATCAGTGGAGTTCAAACATGGACGGATTGCAATGCTTGCTACAATGGGTTTCATGACGCCAGAAATCATTGGACGTTGGCCTGGGTATCTTTCACCTTCTATGGATTTGAAATTTTCTGACGTCCCAAATGGTTTGGCAGCGCTGAACGTTGTTCCATCGCTAGGCTCGGAAAGTTCAAAATTGGCTCAAGAGTAAGACTATAAAGGTTGTTGGATGTGGTTGGCTAGTTTTGTTTGCAAAATAGGATAAATGTGAATATAGTGTGTGTGTGTGATTCTTTTAGACAGGCAGCATTACTACTTGTGTGCAAAAAAACACTATACAAATTTATTCAAAGCCCTTGATCATCTTGATCAGGTTGGACCCAAATCTTGATTTACTTCGGCTTGATTGAATATAGCGCAGGGTTTGAAGACTACCGAACTGGAACCCCTGGCGACTATGCTTGGAAAGTGTTAACTTCGGATGATTCTGAAGAGAGACGCCGCAAGCTCAATGCAGACTTAGCCAATGGAAGGCTGGCAATGGTAGCCATCATGGCCATCTTGTTTCAAAACGGAATTGCCGGGACGACGGGTCCAGAGATGTGGATTCCAAGACTTTAGCACCAGCGAGTTGAGCTACCCTGGGGCGGCCAATGTGCTGTGCCCGCGTAAAATCCTCCGAGCTTGATTTCTCTGGGTAAAAAAAGCTGAATCATGTTTGGAGATGCTTCGAAATGCTTGGGATGCATGGTGCTATCATGTACCATCCACACTTCTCAGGCGACTGAATGCGGGTGATTTGGGATGGCCAGCTGGAAACGCTTTCGAAACGCCAGAGACAAAGAGCTTTATAGTTCAGTATGTTCCAATCTTCAACTCTTCCGCACTGAGGACAATCTTTGCTTCCGAGGACGATCTTTGATTTGATCTCGTTGTGAGGCATGCGCATCCGCCGTGTTGTTTCAACATGCCCATGTTGCAACATGCTACCAGATATGTATTCAACATATTGCTTGTGATCCATCCATGTAGACATTGTCATAGAAGGGTTTGACACTTTGTGGGCTGAAGCTGGTAAAAACTTCCAGCAAGAGGCTTCCCACAGTCTCTGCAGGGGATCTCCATGAGAGAGGGAGCATATTCATCAGTGCTGCGTGAACAAAGTGTGAAGATCTTAAGAGGACGACTTGTCGTATGTGTATACTGCGAAATCTTGTGAATTGTGAATCATCTATGATACCCTCTGGTAATTTAACATAGCTATTGAAAATGGCCATTTATAGTGGATGTTCCCTTTAAAAATGGTGATTTTCCATAGCTACGTTAAATTACCAGAGGGTATGTCATGAAATAAGTATGATATGTTTTAATATGTTTTAACCTTGAAGCCCGTCGCTGGGCATGGCAAGGCGGCGGGGTAGCTGGAAGATGCTGGACGAATGTCTTCGATTGAGCCAACTTTAAATCGACAGCGCGGGCAGCGCCACTCGAGGCCTCGATTTTACAGGTACGGTATATGTTACTCGTACATATAATATGTTACAGATACATACATACATACATACATATATATATATAATGTATATAAGTTGCAGCCCTGGCCTTCTAGCAGCCTTGCAGATTGAGCAAAGTTATGGCTCATTGATAACATGAATTGAACTAAGTTTTGATAGCAAAATTGTTCTTCCTCCATCTTTCTGTGTGGTACAAACCATGTACTTTCTGCTACTATGCTGTATACAAGGTGCTGTAATGTGCTGTACATTCAATCATGGATGTGGCTGTTACTGCTGTTAATACGTGGACTTTAACGTAGGCATGTGACACGGCATGCGTATGGCGTATGTTCAACCCATTTTAGCCTTCACTGCTCGATCTGGAAAAAATGCCTCGACCTGGTCAGGCCCTATGTGTGTTCTGCCTTTCACCATGCGACTGACTGAATCTGAATGGCAGATTGTCTACATGATATGTATTGTTCTGTCTTGATATAGTATATGATGATATATGATGTACTGTAGACATGGAGGGTCACCTGTAGAAGACCATGGTGAACAGGTGAACAGCTGTAGAAAGAACGCGAGAAAAGATGCGCCAGCTCCCCTAAGCGCCAAAATTTCTTGACAGAAAGTAGTGCAACGCAGCTCATCAAGGTCCTTGACAAAGGTGCAATGGTACGGTTGGTATGGTGTCTATTTAAAATATTGCAGTGCGGTTGGCACATGTTGGCACACATTGTGCGAATGGCGAGGTATCTCTTGGATTTGGAGTTGGAGTCGCGAGAAGGCACAAAGATTGCTGGGTCTCAGGCTCAGGATGCTTGGGGTACTGGTATGTCGATGTATTTCGGGTCCTTCAAGTTCCAGATGACCCAGATTACTCCAGAGGTGTTTTGGCTAGGCCTTGCTATTTACATCACGTGGGTGTGCATCCCTTTGGACGTATTTAACCTTCACATATGATCCAAGAACTTTACAGCGCACACTCTTGTGGCATGCTCCATTCTTCGAAAGAGTTCAGGAAGCATCAGAATTGGCAGATCGCAATACAGCACATAGCAAACAAAGAAGATCAAAGAAGCTAGTCGTAAAGAACAGGATGCTGATTTATCACACCCTTCAGATCCTTTCAGCACAAAACAGAGGTGTTGTAGAACTGGGAGGTGTACGCGAAGTATGGCTGTGCACCACCACTTATCGGGACACAGCTGCCATTGAATCAAATTAGCCACGCAAGGAGCACTGCGGAATGCCAATCATAAGGAGACTTGAGCACCATCATGACAAGACCCAAGAGCTGCGTTGTTGATATATAAACTTGTCCACGCCGCCATTCTGCAATAGCAACAGGACTCCAAAATGCGGATAACCCAGCGCAGGAAAGACAACATCCGTTATTCCCCTAATGTGGTTTAGACACTCTAAGACCAAAATTGCGACCACTGCAGCATCCATACCAACAAAGCTGCACTCTCCCAGCCACTGCCACTGTGGACTGGATGCCGCACGCTGCCGCAACTATTTCTAAAACACCCGCAGCTGTGAGGTTCTTGGTTCTGGATGGCCACTCTGGAAGCCTGTGTTTGCCACTCAGCGAACCCGACATCTGCATTTGTTCATGTCGAATTTTCATGCAGATGCATTCACTTGGGACAGTTTTGCTCTCAGGCTGCGACCACCTAATGGAGCGATTGCCGGGGAATCTGCAGATACATGGCTTTGGAAGGAAGCTAGATGTTTCTACTATAGTATATCATCAATATCTCTCGTTACCATTCGTTACCCCCGTTGGGGTTTTGTATGGTTTTGTATGGTTTTGTAGTATAGTTGGAATTTCAGATGTGGAGGCCGGAAGCTTGTCGGTTGGCTTGCCGTCTATCTCTCTCTCTCTCTGTATATGTATATATATATATACATATGTATATATACGTACATATATATATACATACATATTATATAGTATCTCTAATCTATTTAATAGTATATATATAAATACACTCTATATAAAATTTACTATCTCTATCGCTCTCTCTCTATACATAATATATATGTGATACTTATATGTACATACATGCACTATCTCTCTCGATATATAGTATATATATAGATATACTGTATACTATCTATATATAGTGATACTTTCGACGCATACATACATACGTACGTACGTTCATTACATTACATTACATTGCATTGCATTGCATTGCATTACATACATAACATACCTACATTACATACATTACATACATTACATACATTACGTGCATTACATGCATTACATACATTACGTGCATTACATGCATTACATGCATTACATCGATGTAATCGATTACATCGATTACATCGATTACATCGATACATACATACATACATCCATACATCCATACATCCATACATCCATACATCCATACATCCATACATCCATACATCCAAACATCCATACATCCAAACATCCAAACATCCATACATCCATACATCCATACATCCATACATCCATACATCCATACATCCAAACATCCAAACATCCATACATCCATACATCCATACATCCATACATCCATACATCCATACATCCATCCATACATACATCCATACATCCATACATCCAAACATCCATCCATCCATGCATCCATACATACATCCATGCATCCATACATCCATCCATCCATCCATACATACATACATACAAACATTGCATTGCATTACATTACATTAGATTACATTACATTAGATTACATTACATTAGATTACATTACATTAGATTACATTACATACATATATTACGTACATACATTACATACATTACATACATACATTACATACATTACATACATTACATACATTACATACATTACATACATTACATACATTACATACACTACATACATTACATACATTACATACATTACACACATTACATACATTACATACATTACATACATTACATACATTACATACATTACATACATTACATACATTACATACATTACATACATTACATACATTACATACATTACATACATTACATACATTACATACATTACATACATTACATACATTACATACATTACATACATTACATACATTACATACATTACATACATTACATACATTACATACATTACATACATTACATACATTACATACATTACATACATTACATACATTACATACATTACATACATTACATACATTACATACATTACATACATTACATACATTACATACATTACATACATTACATACATTACATACATTACATACATTACATACATACATACATACATACATTACATACATTACATACATTACATACATTACATACATTACATACATTACATACATTACATACATTACATACATTACACACATTTCATACATTTACATACACTTCATATACTATATACATTACATACATTACATTCCATTTCATTACACTACACTACATTACATTGCATTACACTACAGTACACTACATTACATTACATTACACTACACTACATTACATTACATTACATTACATTACATACATACATACATACCATCTATACATATATACATATGATATATAATATATAGAGGGTAGATATATTGATAGATTGATAGCTGGAGATAGATAGATAGATAGATGGATAGATAAATGGATAGGTAGATAGATAGATCAATAGATAGATAGATAGATAGATAGATCGATAGATAGATGGATAGATCGATAGATAGATCGATCGATAGATAGATAGATATGAATGTGTACAAAAGATATTTCACAGAGATCAAACATATAATCTGCAGAGCAGAGATACAGAGAGTACTGTACCCTTCTGGTCACACTTCAGGATGCCTTAATCTCATGCCTCAAGTTTCTGGTCTTTCCCGGAGCGATCACAAGGAAGTGCCTCAGCACAAAACCAGCGCTCTCAGAAGAAACTCTCTCCCAGGTCCAGCTGGCAGTGCTTGAGATCCAGCTGTTTGTGTTTCAAGTCAATGTTTTTTTTGCAGAAACGACTCCAGTCTATCTCTGTAGTTATCTGTTGATATCTGCTGTTTATGCTCAAAGCCTGGGAGGAAGGCCAATAACATCAACTAAAGGGTGACATGTTGAACTCTAGCAAACTCCAACAGCTCTCATGGAAAGGCCACAACTTTTTCACAACATGAGACTCGTCCTGGCAACTTTTGAAGGGTAACCTGTCACATTCAGCTGAACAATTTCAGCTGCGATACTTGTGGCTGCGCATGAGCATACGATGTCACACGTCACAACCGGTCACAACAAGTCAAAACAGGTCACAAGATATTGATACTGGCACGTAAATCACGTATTGACGTATTGTATTTATGTTATTTGTGCATTGTGTTTATTTCCATCGCTGCATCATACTGGATATCTTACTACGCTATGCACAGCGTCTGCAGCCTTTCAGCTTCTCGATCTCAAGGCACGGCTGTCCAAGAGACTGAGAGATGCTGAGTGACATCACCGCTGCACTTGATTTTTACAAGAGCTTCCTCACGCAGCCATTTGTTGCTCGCGACCTGACCTCACGCGATCTGGTATCTTACTAAAATCTGCTCGGGACTTGGCACTGCAAACTTGCGATGTCCATCAGTTGTTGAACATATCGTGGTGGCATGTCGTGACAATGTAGTAATGTTGTAGTGGTCAAACAGGTGCAATCCCAGCGATTGTGAAACGCCTTGAAATCTTGGACTCTTGCCCTGCTTAGGCCAGTCATGACTGCCCCCACCATGGTGGCACAGTGTACTGCAGAGTTTGTCGGAACTTTCCTATTGATTCTCACCGTTGGTTGCAACGTGCTTGGGGGAAATGCCGCTTGGGCCGGTGTCTCCATTGCTTTTGTCCTGATGGTGAGCATCTATGCCTTGGGTGGTATCTCTGGCGCCAACTTCAACCCGGCGGTGTCTGTGACCCTTGGCATCTCCAAGAGCATTGGAGGACCTGGTATGGACTGGACGACTGTGGGCATCTTTGCCGGAACTCAGTGTGCTGCTGGAGTTTTGGCTGGTGTGTGCTACTCGCTGCTCTTCGGGCAAAGCTTCAACCTGGCACCAGCCAAGGGCTTTTCCTGGTACCATGCAGGACTCTGTGAGTTGCTTTATACGTTCATGTTGACCTTCGTGGTGATGAACGTGGCAGTGGCCAAGAAGAACGCAGCTGAAAAGAATCAGTACTACGGTATGGCCATTGCTTTCACCGTGGTTGCAGGTGCCTATGGTGCGGGAGCTGTGTCGGGTGGTTGCTTCAACCCTGCCGTTGCTTTGGGCATTGACCTTTCCAGCGCTGGCTTGGGGTTTGGCTGGAGCCTTGTGTACATTGCTTTTGAGCTGCTTGGTGCTGGCATGGCAGCAGTCCTCTTCAAAGTGGTTCGTCCAGGAGACTTCGGTGGCGAGAAGTCCCAAATCACGGAGCTGGTGAGCGAATTCTTGGGAACTTACATGTTGGTCCTCACTGTCGGTCTGAATGTGTTGGGTAAGTCCAAGGCTGCTGCATTCTCCATTGCTGCTGGCCTCACCTCTATGATCTATGCCCTTGGCGATGTCTCTGGTGCCCACTTCAACCCTGCTGTCACAGTGGCCATCCTGGCCTCTGGCCGCTGCCCTGAGCTCACTCCTGCTAAGGCTGGTATCTATGCAAGCGTTCAGATTGCTGGTGGCATTGCCGCAGCATTAACTTGTTCTCTTGTCTACCAGGGAGCTGCTCTTGGGCTGGGACCAGCTGGCAAGAGCACATGGATGGGGGCTTCAGTTGCTGAGATCGTCTTCACCTTTGTGCTGGCCTATGTGGTGCTCTGTGTTGCTATCTCACAGACGACCAAGGTCTCTCACATGTTTGGCTTTGCCATTGGCTCTTGCGTGACCGTAGGAGGCTTTGCCATTGGAGGCATTTCTGGTGGATCTCTGAACCCAGCTGTATCGCCTTTTGCCTGCATGTGGTGGCGTGTTGAGATGTTTGGCAGTTGAAATGCAACCTCGGGATTTGATTTGTTGCTAGATGTTTGCGCTCTCTTGTTGGGTTAGCTCCCCATGTCGTGACTTGAAACGACACGAAGAGTTCCCAAGGATTGGTCTTGCAACTCCGTCCTTTACATTCTCAATGCTCCTCAAGGTGCTCTCGTCATTGCTGTGAATAGCAAGTTGTATGAGTTCTCCACATGCATTTGGTTTGGAGATTGACAATACGCAATAAAGATCAATAAAGCCATATAATTCAACTATTGAGCATCGCTCACTACGCTCTTTGAAGCTGCATAAGCATCAGGTTGTCAATGAGTCAATGCTCCAATGTTTTGAACCTTGACATGGACTTTTCACTTGAGAAAAAATGAGGCGCTGGCGTACTCGGCCTTTGAGATCATCGGAGGTGCTGCCGCAGCAGGCATTTTCAAGGTCACTCACGAGGTGCTGTCAGCTGTCACCACCTAATCATCGCTACAATCTGCATGTTTCCAAGTTGACTGTGCTGAAGCTGCTACTTCCAAACATCATCAAATGTCATCAAACCAAATTGTTGAAATTTGAGCACCCTCAGGTGGACATGGCCTTGCTTGAGGAAAAGACCGCTGTGTAGAGGGAGGTTTGCCTCAGGTCCAACTGTCGGAAGTGCAGAGTGTCATCAGCTCATCAGATCTGATGGATTTTGTACTGAAAGATTTCGTCATTTTACGTTGTGTCCTGATTGCACCGTGGGGATAGACGTGATAGTATATTCATATTATATGATATCATGGGACAGTGGGGTTCCATTGGACGTGACTTGCTAGGGCTCAGAGGAGCTGGTGCAGGAAGTCTGAGAAACACGAAGGATTGTTTCAGTTTCAAAGGATATGCAGCACAGATCAGCACAGTCAAAAAGGATCAAAAAGGAAAGATTGCCAAGAGATCCAAAGGGACGGCTCACTTGCCTTGACAGCCACAATTTGCGACGCAAAAGAGCAAGATTAAGAGAAGTTTCAAAATCCCAGGCATTGGCATTTTGGATCTTTCTGGTACCATGTATTACTACTGTACTGCCAGTGGTAGCAAAAGTCTGTGCTGGAGAGGCACCGTTGTGGCGGTTTGCTTCGAAGCCTGACGCAGCTGCTGCACGCTTGTGGAGAACTAAGCAGCTCAGCAGTTAAATATATTTAAAATTATTTAAACATATTTAAACGATTTCAAAAGTATCTGAACCCGTTTCGGCATCAGGACATGTACGAGGAAGATGTTCACTTTCAAGTCATTTACAGGGAAGAAATTGCAGATGATTTGGCCCAGATCCAAGAATCCTTTGGCTGCAATGTTAAAACTGGACCAAAATCGACAAAACCGCTCAAAACGGGCGATGCTATGCTTACAGATCTTAGATTCACCTTAGAATATGGGCCTGCAGATAGGAACAACACGGCTAGGCGTTTTAAAGGTCATCGACTCGTATCAAATCTACAATCTACAAGGAAGCCACCGGGATTAAACGGCAATGGAAAAATCAGAACCTTCAGCTTCTTTCGCACAAAGCGTTTCCGCGCCCTGCTGCGCCAATTGCAATTGCCAGTTGACAGACATGATACTTGGACTGCAGCTTTGTCAATCCATGTCAATCCCAGTATGGCATTCTTAGCATCGCAACTGTGATTGGCACCACAGAGCGGAGCCCAGGAGTGCATCATGTTTTCGGCGGGACTCCAAGCTCATCACTGCAATCTCAGTGGCCTTCTTTGCCCTGCTTGGTTGCGCTTCTTGGGATGAAACATATGAAACTCCGAAAGAATTGGTAGTATTCAAACGTTGCAACTCGGGTACTGTGTCTTGTTCCAGTCTGAAGTCCAAACTTGCGTGCAGCGTGCCTTTTCATGTTGCAACTGTTCGAATGTTCACGAAGACTACGAAGAGTGGCAAAACAAAGGCGATTCGAGTTTCAATTGAGCTATGGCTGCATCACTTAGACTTCGGGGTTACCACATCACACCCAGGCTCGGGCTGACTTGGGGATTCGAAACTTTGGGATAGGAAAGGAAATCACGGAGCAGGACAGGGAGTTTGACGAACGTCATTTGCCTGGACAAAAGGTCTACGATGGCAAAGAACAAATAAAAGACTTTCAAAACAAAATTATGCTTTCATCCACCTGCTTTCACTCTGGTCTTACAAGCATGTCCAGATTCGCCCTGTGCCCAGGGCCTTTCATACTAAAGGACTCGCACAAATGTCAAGTGCTTAATGTGCTTCTATGCAAGACTACGCACATTCGTGCACAATGTGGCGGTTATTTGCAGAGATAGAACACCTTCAATCAAGAACACTTTATTTTTCTGAAGAACAAAGAGAGGGGAACAAGCTTGAAAAGCACTTGTATAATTTGTATATTATATTTGTGCAATATTGTGCTAGACTGTCGCCATTTGTCGCCCCATTTGTCGCCATGTGTCACCGAGGTTACAAGCGAAGTAGTGCTGCAGGGTACTTCTTTCAGAATGTTCTGGGCTGTATTCTGATGGCAGCAGTGGCCAGGAGAGCTGCAAGCTTCACGACATTGGAACAACATGGAACAACATACTCCAGACTTGACCACAGACTAGACATGTCGAATTTCACTGGGTGATACTGGGTGCCATGCAAAGCGGTAGGCACAAGAAAGCTATGAACCAGCAACTTGGTATTTTTCAGCTCATTTTCAGTTAAAAAAAGCTACAGATTGCTACCATCCAAGGCACTTGGCCACGGGCTTGTCCTCTGGGCTCTGTGGAGCATTGACAACTTGGGCTACGTGGATGGGTGAGGTTGCTCATACCATCACCAATGGCTACGCGTTTCAAGCTTTTGTTAGCGTGTCTCTCGGCTGTGCTGAGATGAATGGTGTTTCTGGAAAATTTCCCTGCAACAAGCTCGTGTTCAAATTATGCTGATTCAAACATTGTGTTGTTTGCGTCCATGAAAATTGCGATCACCATCAACAGAGGCTTTGTATGCTATGTGTTTCCCTAGCGTCATATCGCTGCTTGAACCGCAATTTGTGATGCTTGCAACAGTGGAACCTTCTGCAGTGATGTGCAGCGGTTTCTTCTGTGGCGGGTTCGCTTTGCGGAAGATCAGGTTTTGGCCACTTCCTAGCAGGTTGTGGCATGGAGGCGGCCTGTAAGGGAGAGCATGCTCTGTATTTGTGCAAGTGCCTGAACATTCAATGTAGTTTTACTGCAAGTGGCATCAAATTCATTGTGAATTAACTTCTTGGAAGCAGGACGAGCCAAAGTGCTTCGATGAGTATTGCGGACTTCGCATACTGTTTTCCAGACAGGACCCGTTCAGCTTCAAATATGTGTATTCTGTCAGATCAGCGCAGGAAAGCGACCAGACTAGCAAAACGGCCCACTGAGTCCATGAGAACAAGCACGCCATCAAAAGCAAAGAAAGCAGCAGCAATGGGAACGGCATGGAACAAGAATCCAGAGCAACAGCAACAAAATGCAAAGACACAAGGAAGCAAAAGAAGTAGCAGCACGAGATAGCAGATTGCAAGAGTAGCAGAAGAAGAAACAGACGAGGTGAGGAAAAGGTTGACAAACGGAAGTGCAGCCACAACCACAACTAAAACCGCGACCTCGACCGCAAGCGCCACCAGCGTGCAATAGCCAAGCGGAGGTCTTGGGAGACTCGCCCAAAAACCCAATAAGGCCTCAAGATGCCTCAAGTGTCTCTAGCATCAAATCAAGCAGCGGTCGACAAGCCTTCACATGTCATACATGTCCACCAGCATGACAGGTGGCACTGAATTCTTCAACGCTTAGTGATGGACTTGCAAGGTCCATCACATACATGTGCTATAGGTTGGGCAGTGTTACGTTCAGATGCATTATAAATAAAGCTACCTCTATGTCACATCCTTTGGCCAGGAGCCATATTCGGAAGATCTCTCGACGAAGTGTTTGCATCCCATCATTGCCAAACTTGTATAACTCTCCATGTTGTTGCACCTTTCTGAATTCTCATAGCAATCATTGTAGCACCAGGAGAAAAACATTGAAATGGTGGAGGATGGCGAGACCGCAAGTGACTCTGATGGCGAAAATGGCACAGAGCAACTTGTCGCAGAGCAACTTGTTTCCATAATTTGGTTTGCTGACATGGTGACTGAAGCTGGTGTTCAATCCTCGGCTCTCCTGTCATGGGATGCTCCACTGGATTTGTTGGATATTTGTTGGATATTGCTGGATCGGGAGGACTAGTCAGGGCTGTGGAGTTCCAATGTCCATCATTCACGACAATCACATGCCGCGGCTCCGCAGTGAATCACCATGGAAGTTTATATAACCCAATTTCTCGGAACGCATTCTGTGTACAGGTATTTGTGATCATCTCCGGACATGTTGCCTTTCATTGATCTGTTGCGGGATGTTGCGGGGTGTTGCGAGATGTTGCGCGATGTTGCCAGCTCTGCCAGCTTAGGGAACTCAAGGAGGGGGTAGGTGAACTTGTGATGGAGCATTCAATACAAATCACCTTCACAAACGGAAGAAACCATGAGGAAACCATGCTCCATACGATCTGCATGTTCATTATTTTTGTATACCTTGCACATCTTTATCTCAGTGTTGATGCTCCCAGGCACGAGTGGGGCCTGGACTTAGATGAACCTTCGAGTTGGAGGGAGCAAAGCGAGAAGGAGGCTATGGCTACCACTATGGCTGCACCGATGTGATGAGTGAAGTTGGATCATGATTCAAATACCCAGCATACCCCAGCCCAAGCCGAAAGGTGTTCCTGAGTGATGCTGTTCATGCTGCGATCACCGGGCTTGCCTTGGTCTACATTGTGACGTCATTTGTTTGGAATTCACGACGTGTGTTTGCTAGCGACAGGTTTGTTACAGGATCCGTCCTTGCTAAGAATGTGCATTGTTTGTCATAGTTTGAAACCCTGCAAAGGGTAGGGCTCTTTGCCACAATACGCAGTGATATGTTGCAAATGATGTGTGACCACTGTTCACGACGTTTTCAACCGAACCACACCCATTCCCAACCCCGATTTTATTTAGACAGATTTTGTTTTTTTGACTGCAAGTCTCATTTAATTTATATATATATTATATATATATATTATATATTATTATATATATATACAGTATGAATATATAGAAAGTGGTTGGTATTCTACTTGTTGCGTCGCTTCTTTCTTCACCTCAAGTAGGTCAATTCGCTGCTTCGAGGTTTCTTGGAATAGCTGGAGGCCTGACTGATGCCCACTCCTGACAGCTCTTTGGGCTGAGTGCATGTGCAGACGAATTGCATCTACCCTCTGGTGAACTAACATAGCAATTGAAAATGGCCCATAGAAATAGTGGATTTTCCCATTAAAAATGGTGATTTTCCATTGCTATGTTAGTTCACCAGAGGGTAATTGCATTGTACTGCTTGGAAAGATTGGATTTCACCAAGAATCGTCTGCTCTTCGACATTTGCCGACACAGCATATTTAGGCATATTTATCAACTTGCCATTTCAAAATCTACTTGCAGATCGAGTATTTGTGAGCGTTTTGTGGTATTTTGATTTTGATGTATTTTGTACAGGTCACAAGTACTACACCGGCTTGCTGGATATGTCAATGGCTCCCTTCGGAGCACTCTTTAGATGGTGGTCGGATCCTTGGGCAGCTCAGGTGGTTTCCACACCCTGTCAATGGCCCATGGTCCCATGGTAAATGCACTTGTCTTCGAACACCTTCCGGGAATGATGCTTCAAATCGCACATGTACCCAGCAAAACTCCCGAAAGCTCGTATATATTTGTTTAATTTCGTAAATTGCGGAATCAGCGATTTTCTTGCAAAGGTTGCATGTAATGTAAGTTAGACTTTTTTTCCAGCCGGAACGAGGCCGACAGGGCATGTTCCTTCTACTGTTGCATCGTAACTGATCGGGATCGAGGTTAACATGCTAGTCAGCTAGTCGCAGTGTCATGTGTTCTTGCAATCTGACCCCCCACTGAGACATACTAAGGCATACTAAGACATACTAAGACATACTAACTTGCCTCCTGACATCTCCTGACACTCTCGGCTTCTGTGAACTGCTTGATCCCAACGTGGTGGTCGATCCATGGAGATCCATTTTGACATATTTTGATGGATCTCCATATGTCTCCCTTCAGCGTTACAGGTGCGATGTGCTTTGGAATTTTAAGGGCTTGGCTTATCTTGACTTATCTTGACAAAAATTTATCCGGAAAAGAATGATGTCGGCCTAAGCGCATGCAATCAGTCCGAGCTCAGCAGGTAGATGCAGTAAATCTAGTCTTCGTATGTCTTCGTAGGTTGGTTTCAAAGCGTACATTTGGCCTTTCAACACCAAACAGGGAATTGCCAGCAAGCAAGACCTGCCCCACCCAATAGTGCTATATTATAGTGCTGATTAAGAATATCACTCCTCTTCCCAAAAATAGACAATATGATCACATGATCTATCCATGCCTGGACAACATTGAAGACCTGTGTGGCAGCACTCGTGTTTCTTGAATTCCGCTGTCTTCTGTTGACACGTTCTTGACTGTTCTTTCTGCCTGCTTCTCGGATCGCTTATCCTTTGCCACATGCCACATATCAGTTGTTAAACGTGGCCTTCCTGATGTACAAAACATTGTTGTAAAGCATGATGGCTTGTCACTCTCAGTATGTTTCATCACTTTTCCACAAATTACAGCTTCGATTTGTCCATGGCTTCTACGCCCAGGCTCTCGCTTTTCAACAAGTACACAGCACCGTCGGAGCCCTGCTGTCCATCAGCAATGATTCCCTGGAGCTTTTTGGGTTTGTCTGAAAATAGGGTTAATCTTCCCAATGAAATAGCCATTTAATAGGGATAATGATCAGCAAAACCATTGGGTAAAAAGGGGTACACAACATTTTCAGACACACCCTTTTTGAGCTTAGGTTTCCTTTCTTTACCCTCCTTGCGAACACGTTGGGCTGTTTGTGCAATGCACTGGCTGGTGTCTACGAAGCAACTTGATTTGAATTTCCTGGTACCGGCCTGTAATACGGTCGAGGGTGCATGTCATCTTAGATGATAAAGATGTGATTGAATAAATAAATAGATAATCAATGATAATGATATAATACCAGTAGTGCCCGCACGAGGCGGGGCGGAAGTTGCCTTAGGGATATATATATATATGATATATAAATATATATATATATACATATATATACATATAAGACCTTTCTCATCTGTAGAACTTGCATGCGCCGTGCGCCAGCCAGGCCCGTGCGTGCGTGCTTTCTGCGAAAGTGGTGTCCTGTTTCACATGTCACATTTGAAGCTCCACTTCGCACTTCACACTTCGCACTCCACACTTCACACTTCACACTTCACAGTCCAACACTTCACAGTCCACACTTCACACTTCCCACTTCTCACTGCTTTCTTCACACTCCACACTCCACACTTCACACTCCACACTTCACACTGCACTCTTCACGCCCCACACTTCACACTGCACTCTTCACGCCCCACACTTCACACTGCACTCTTCACACTCCACGCTTCATCTCATCTGAGCTCTTCTCACCTTATCCCAGCTCATCTGTTCTCATCTCATATGCCAACTGAGCTTTCATGAATCACTTCCCACAACAACAACTACAACAACTACAACTACAACTACAACTCCTACTACTCCTACTACTCCTACTACTACTACTACTACTACTACTACTCCCTACTCCTGCTGCTGCTGCTGCTGCTACTGCTACTGCTACTGCTACTACTACTACTACTACTATTACTACTACTACTACTACCACTACTACTACTACTACTACTACTACTACTACTACTACTACTACTACTACTACTACTACTACTACTACTACTAAGGAACTTGCATGCGCGTGCTTTGTGCGAAGCTGTTGCAGTGTTGTTGTCCAAGAACATGACCCGCGCGCGACCCCAATGCAGTGCAACGCCAAGCAAAGACTTTCCTCACACTTCAAATTCCACTCTTCACATCCCACACTCCACACTTCACAGTTGTCCTAAATACCTTGCGCGAAGCACTTCCCAGTACTACTTTGTACTACAAAGCTTGCACAGAAACATGTTCCAGTATATACTACTTTGCACTACAAAGCTTGCCAAAGTACTTCCCAGTACTACTTTGTACTACAAAACTTGCACAAAACACGTTCCAGTATTACTTTGTACTACAAAGCTTGCACAAAGCACTTCTCAGTACAACTTTGCACTACAAAGCTTGCACAAACTACTTCCCAGTACTACTTTGTACTACAAAGCTTGCACAAAGCACTTCCCAGTAGTACTGTCTACTACAAAAGCTTGCAAAGACTACTTCCCAGTAGTACTTTGTACTACAAAGCTTGCACAAAACACGTTCCAGTACTACTTTGTACTACAAAGCTTGCACAAAACACGTTCCAGTACTACTTTGTACTACAAAGCTTGCACTACTTCGTACTACAAAGCATGCACAAGCTACTTCCCAGTACTAATGTCTACTACAAAAGCTTGCAAGGACTACTTCCCAGTCCAACTTTGCACTACAAAGCTTGCACATAACACGTTCCAGTACTACTTTGTACTACAAAGCTTGCACAAAACACTTCCCAGCACTACTTTGCACTACAAAGCTTGCACAAAGCACTTCCCAGTACAACTTTGCACTACAAAGCTTGCACAAAACACGTTCCAGTACTACTTTGTACTACAAAGCTTGCACAAACTACTTCCCAGTACTACTTTGTACTACAAAGCTTGCACAAAGCACTTCCCAGTAGTACTGTCTACTACAAAAGCTTGCAAAGACTACTTCCCAGTAGTACCTTGTACTACAAAGCTTGCACAAAACACGTTCCAGTACTACTTTGTACTACAAAGCTTGCACAAAACACGTTCCAGTACTACTTTGTACTACAAAGCTTGCACTACTTTGTACTACAAAGCTTGCACAAGCTACTTCCCAATACTAATGTCTACTACAAAAGCTTGCAAGGACTACTTCCCAGTCCAACTTTGCACTACAAAGCTTGCACATAACACGTTCCAGTACTACTTTGTACTACAAAGCTTGCACAAAGCACTTTCCAGCACTACTTTGTACTACACAGCTTGCACAGACGAAGCTGCTGATTTCTTTGTCCGACCGGTACCCCCGGGGGAGAACATTTCGGCAGAGCTTCAAACAAAGATGACCGACCTCCAAGAGACAATCAGTCGACTGGCGAATCTGGGACTTACCGAAACCGAAAGGGAGCAGACGGCTCCGATGGACACTGAGGATGACTCCGTGACGATGACCACAGGGGAGGATGACCTTCCACGAGGTGGACTGGGTTTCTACCCCGAAGCCGGACAGGTGCCCCAGGCCCTGGGTTTGCACGCCCGGTGGTTCAACCTCTGATCCACCATCCGGTGCGGTGGATGCTGGACCCCGAGAACCACGCCTTCCTGAGAATCCTGTACTACCTCTTTCCACAGGTCGACTGGGGCTGTGTTTGTGGACGACTTCTGCTGGCTCCTCGGGGCAGAAGAAGCAGATCATATGGCCACCTCCATACTGGCCACATTGGTGGCTCTGGGGGTTCCACTGAGTTGGAAGAAGACCGACCTGGCAGAAGTGAACACTTGGCTTGGGTTTGTCATCCACCCAAACATCCCCCAGGTTCAAATGATTGCAACCAAGCACACGCTTGTATTGGACGTCTTGGAACTTCTCATTCAGAACACAGCAATGACTGCCAAATCCATTGAACGAGCCCTAGGCCGCCTTCAATGGGCCACAGCGGTATGCCCCTTGACAAAAAGCCTCATGCAAAAATTTTGGGCTTGGAAGATGGCGGTTACTTCCTCAGGCAGACCACCGAAAAGGTTCGTTTACTGGCCCTCTTAATGAAGGAGTTGTTCACCACTCCCTACCGGCAACTTGCCCAAGTCCCAATGGTGGGGATGCAGCGATGCTAGCGCTTCTGACACGGGGGAGGCCTACATTGGAGGATGGCTGCCAGACTCTCAGTTGCCAGCCAGGCACTCAGTCTATTGGTTTCACTTTCAGATTTTTGAGTCCCAGTTCCCCTGAGCGTTAAAAGATGGAAATCCCAAGAAGCGGATTGCAGCCTTAGAGTTGCTAGGCACTTTGGTGCTGGCCCACTGTATCTTGAGACTGCAAGGCAAGATTGCCTCTGCAGTGAGAATCCCTGTTGGCAGTGATAATCAGGGCAACGTGTTCTCGTTGCTGAACTTAGCTTCTAAGAAACCACACGCTGCAGCCATTTTGATGGAACTCGTTTTGCTACTCCATGTCGCGGGCTGTGCTTTGGCGCCTTGCCATGTACCTCGAGAACTCAATCAATGGGCGGATGATTTCACACACCCGCTCTACGGTGGCTTCTCATTCGAGCCCTATCTCGATGTGAGAGGCATTTTTGCACAGTTTAACCTTTTGTCTAGACTCACTTCTCACCTTGATGTAGATTTTTCCCATGCTCCCACCCATAATCCCGTGACGGGATTCGGTGGGTTGTCCTGTTCCCTTTCACCTTTTAAGCCAGGCGTGCCCAGTTCCGTTTGATTGGACCGGCGGAGATTTCGACCTGGCACACCTGGTTGATTGAATTTTGGAACTGTACAGATACAGTACATCAATCCCAGACACAGGGAACCAGGACAAACTGGCACCAACCACTGCACTC